AGGAGAGGGGCACAAGTGATTGGGGAGGAAGCCTTGCCAGGAAGCAGCACCCCCTGCACTGTTCCTGGGTGGATCTCTCCTGGGTGGACGGTCTCTGCGGCTAGTGGCAGCAGCTGTCCCATCTGCAAGGGACAGAGCCCCAGGGCCAACGCTGTGACCAGAGTTGACCACAGCCCGGAGTTATTCCCACTGGCCACGCGCCATCACCCAGTAAGCCATAGGAGATGAGGGGAAGGTTTCTGTGGACTGAGCCCGTGGGGTTTGGTGTCACTGCAGTGGTGGGAGAGCACAGGCAAACGGGCCAGGAGCTGGGCTGGGAACCGACCACCCCACCAGGGAGCTGTGCAATTGCACCCCAGCCAATTTCAGCCAGTAATCCTTGCAAGCACATTGCCTGTCCCCAGCACGTTCATCCTCCTCAGGAAGCATTTGATTGGCATTCAGACACGGCCTCTTCTGAACAACCCAACGAGCTATGATTTATGTGATGCCTTTGTCTTCAGACACTGTTGTCAGCAATACCCATCCTCAGGCAAAGCTGCCAGTGCCTGCAGATTTCCAAACGTCGCTATCATGGACACGCTGCCCTTGCTGAAGGATAACAAATAGAAGATTTACTAAAAGTAGAAATTATCATTTGTTAATTTTCTCCTGTAGCTATGTTGAGTCCCCTCCCCAGAAACCAGGGGCCCCAGGGGCAACATTTCCAGGACAGAAGAGAAAACAAATTGATATACTGTCCTGGGCTCCAAAGAGTCTCCTACAGCTGGAGAAAATAAGTGATGTTTTCACAGCAGCTACTCACAGGATCCCTTTTCCTGAACTGTGAGTGTTCAATATCTTCCATGGACCCAGAGCAACAAAACAGCTTTCTCAGCATTAATGGGAAATAATCCAAGACAAAAATCACTATGGACTAAATTATGGTTGTTTTTTCTTCTGCAGGAAAAATCAGTGTTTGAGCAGTATCCCCTGGATACAAGAGCAGCTGATCCCTGCACATCGGCTCGCTCTCACCTTGCTGATGCAAAATGGCTTGGTCTGTCTGCCATGCCTGAATGGATCCAGCTGCACCATCCCCCTTCCTCCCACAGACTTGCAGATCTCTCCTGCATGCACAGATGACCTCCTCCCCAGTGCAGTCCTTCTGCACTGTCTGCACCAACAGCCTTCAAACCAAATCTTGGATACCACAGGCAAGGTCCTGGGTACACCTGCAAGATCCAGACCTGACAAACCAAGGAGGTAACAAAGTTTGGGGGATTTTTAGTCTTTAAATCCAACACAAGCAGCTCTTCGGATCTGCGAGAGCTTTGAGCATTTTGGGAACTGTCTTTTCTGACACCCCTGGGCTTCCCATTTGCATCAGCCTTTCTCCAACCTCCACTCATCCTACCCATCACAGGGCAGCAGCAAACCCCCTACCTGCCTTGTTGACCATCCTGAGCACTGAGGATCCTCCCGCAGGTCCACAAAAGATTCCTTCCCTTCATATATCCCAAGGAAGGTCCCCATAACCTCCACCAAGGGACTGAGGGTGATGCCAATAGTGCAGGGCTGTGGTGCAGATCTTGGCCACACAGCCATGGGGTTGCCCCTTGCCTGCGCTCCCCAGCAGATGAGCAGATGAGCTCCCAGCACCCCCAGCAAGCATGAGCTTGTGCCAACTGTCACAACATCTCCCTGTTATTGCCCCAACTCTCGGGCACTGGGGCTGCAAAAGGAGCTCTACTCCTTTAGCCCGTTCTCTGTCTCGGGTTCAGAAGACATCTGGAAAATGAGAACCACCCCAAAAGCAGCCATTATTTTGAAGAGGCTTAAGAAACATTTGTGGCTTCTAAGTTGTGATTTATGATCATCTGGGTCTGGTTTGTGATCTTGGAATGCTTTTCTGGTGACTCTGTTGCAATTTCCTCAGGGCACCAATGGCTTTTCTCTGTACATCAAGTCTTCGCAGAAAGCAAATTCCAGCCCCAGTACAACAAGTGCTCCTCCAGCCTGCTGTGGATGGGCCATTGCAGGGAAGTAGGTAGGTTCCCAAATTTTTCATTCCCCTGCAATGAAACTTTTTATTCCTTTGCAACACTTTCCTATTCAAAAAAATGTAACTTGAAAGTGCTCAGATTTGGCCAAAAGATGATGCAGACATTCCTCCCACAGAATGAGAATCACCTCTTTCTGCTGACCCACCTAGAGGCATACCTGCTGGTTCAGCTTACCTCCTTCCCACCACGCCTTCCCCGCATTCCTTGTGTGGCATCGATTTCTCCTCCGAGTGCCTTCCAGAAGCCAGGAGAAGATACCATCAGCAATTGCAGAGGTCTTCTGTCCCACACTGCATGTGGTGGCCATCATCCAGCAAGGCGACCAAGGGAAAGCCGTCCCACGCCCGCACCTGTTTTGGGGCCTGCCTCTCCTCTCCATTTCTCCACGATGGGCGCCGTGTTCGACGAGTCACACAGCACGGCTGGCGGAGCCGCCTGACTCATTTTTCTCTACTCCTCCAGCTGATGTGTTTGGAAGAACATGCTGCTCTGACAAGGTGACATATCCTGAGAAAGCCCACACTGCTGAAGACATCTCCCGGCTCCTTCTACCAGGAGCACGCAGAGCAATAGCAGTTTGCGGCTCTTTTTCATTCCTCCCCAGTCAAATAAGCCCCAAGCATTTCTGTTTAACTTTCCTGAAGGATATAGAATAGATGTCAATCAGGGGAGAGGAGCCCTGAAATCCCACGTTTTCTGAAGGCATCTCATAAACACGCAGATGTCAGCAGAGGCGCTAGGAAAAGAAGGGCACTTGCTAACAGAGAAACTGCATTAAAAACCTGCTGTGACTGCTGTTTGGCTGCAGTAGTGTTAGCAACCTAAGTTGGATTCTTCTTTTGGCAGAAGCAACTGCCCTCGAATTGGTTGGTTTGGCTTAATTCGTTGTGGAATAATTAAATTCAGTCCATTGTATTGCATAATCTGGAGTTTCTTCAACCTGCTTCAGTAGTAAAATACTTAATCTCATACAGCTCTGGGAGGGGTTATGAACATGAAATGAAGTCAGTGCAAGTCTATCAGGAGCCTAAGCAATAAGAGGATGAAGAGAGAAGTCTGCAGGAGGCAGAGGGAGGTCAGCAGCCTGTCTCTGCTTCGATACCTCTGACTTGTGGAGGCAAGAAAGGAGAAAACCATGACACATTTGAAATGTCCCAGGAACCAACACAGTTCCCATCTGCAGAGAAGCTCTCGTAAATATTGAGGATCTACCCATCAAACTCAAGTTTGGAAATGTGCCTGGATGTTTCCAAGAAATCTGAGGAAAGACGTTTCTGTTTCTGGACAATCAAAACTATCACATTTCCTGGCTACAGTGAGGATCTCTAAACTGAAAAATGTGCAAATGTGTTTTACCAAGAGTGGGCACATCCCAAACAAGGGTAATCAGAGAAACTCTTTTCAGCACTGCTCTATTTACATATGTTACAGATTGAAGAGGAAAATCTTTTCCCCAGTTGCCCTGGCATATAACCATCAACGCTCTTGCTATGTCCTCTTCCAGCTTTGGGATGTGAGACCAAAAGCACTTACTGGCTTTATTCATGCTGCAAACCTGGCAGGTGTGTTGGAGGAGCAACAGGGGACAGGGTTGGGTCGAGATGAACCTCTTTCAGCTATAAAAAATGATCATCCCTCCGTCCCTTGCTCCTCAGAGGCCGATAACACCACATCAATCTTTGTCGCAGGCACACTAAAGGACTGTTGCTTGCTCACAAGCACCCAGCTCCACCAAGCACCCAGCCCAGCTACTCACAGCTGCTGAGCAGGTCATACCCAAAGCCAGCTCTGCTCTCTGAGTGATTAAAATAACAGATGCCATTAAAAGCCATTCTTTTAGCCCCACGTTGCAGGTCACCCCAGGGAGAGCAGAGGGAAGCCCAGACTCACAAGGAATGTTTCTGGCAGGGTAAAGTGTCCTCCAGAACTGCATTCGGACTGGGGCCTCCCTTGGACAGTGGAGCAGCTGCCGATTGAGCTGAGATTTCTCTCTCACAAACAGCTCCTTGAATTGCTCTTGGCATTGACTTTTTCCTGTTCAGCTAATTAAAAATCTGTCTTTGAGTCATAAGCCCCCATTAGTAATAATTTGCTTTGCACTTCTCCAGTGATTTATGGCTGAGATATCAAAGTGCTTTAGAAACATTAATTAATCCTTCTAATACCCAAGGGACTGATCCACTCTCCACAATGCACCATTGGTGGAGTAAATGTAGGAAATCCCCAGGGTTTACTCCAAACTGCAGGCAGGGAGAGGGGAAGGGAGCAGCATCTGACCCAACGAGCTCGTTTCGGCTGCCTGCCTGCAACCAGGGAGATGTGCAGTCAAAATAACAGCACTGAATGTGTAGCCACAAGCAAGCCCAAGGCACGTACAAGCTCTCCGGCAGGGGTTCTTGCTGCTGTCCCTCTGTGTCTGGGGAGGGAAGGGGAGCTGCGACACCCTAGCTCTGCTCTGCGGATCACGCCAGGAAAGGCATTTGTGGACCAAAGCCACCTTCACCCAGAGCCCTGCAAGTGGTAGTGGCAGGGTCGTTAATCAAAGCCACACTGCTTCACGCTAACACATGTATTTCCCTTGCCGTCCTGTCCATTTCTCCAATCTGCTTCTTGTACAAAGTCACTTTTTCCCAGCTTGCAGTGCAGACCCAAGGACCTCTCCCACACCCGAGATGCAGCTCCAGTCCTTGCCAGCGATAAGGATCGTTACCTCCATTGGCTTCAGAGAGGCTTTCATCCTGGCGCACACCAGTGAGCCATTTGCCACCTGGTATTGTCCCCATACTTTTAAAGTTGTCGTCACAAGACTACAGGGTGGAGCTGGCTATGTAGGGTGGTGCCAGAGATGGGGAAAGCTATAAAGATCCCAGCATAGCTGCCAGAGACAGGATCTCTGAAAGCCTCAGAAGTGTCCCACTTCCACTTTGCTGTTCCCAGTAAAGCATCACCTTGACCATGAAGGCAACTGGTGTTTTTCTGCTCCTCTCCCTGGCACTCTGCTGCTACCAAGGTGAGTGGAACATTTTCCTTCGGAGCCATTTCCTCTCCTTGCTAAAGCTCCCAGGTCCGTCATGTGGGAAGGTGAGCCTGGGAACAGGCCAGCTGGTGCTGGGACTTTGCCCCGGCCCTGAGCAGGGAATACTGGAGAACTCTGCAATGGCCACATGCATTAAACCGGTAGTCTGTGAGCAAGCCCTAAAGAAAAGGCTTTAAAAGGGTGCCTGGCACCTGCTCCCAAAAACGAGGAGACCTGCTGGGCTGACACTGTCCCCTCAGGGCCAGGATTTGGCCTGGAACTGGTGATTTCTAGGACAGTGTGATTCTTTTAGAGTGAATAGGTGCTATTCTGGTTTTAAGAAAGCAAATCCAAGAAGACAGGAAACACACACACACATATATATATATATATATATATGCAAGGGAAAATGCAGCTCTCGCTACCAAAGTCAATGTTTAAGCCAACTGTGTTTTCAAAATCCCATATGGTGCAGAGGGATGAGAACATGAGCTGTTGCTGCTCTTCAGGTCCTGCTCACCGGGGATTTCTGCATTCATGGGTTCATTCAGAACAGGAGGGTGCTTCTGAAACAAGTCCTCGTCATCCTATTTACTGTGCAGCAGTTCCCATTTCAGAGCTGTCTGAGCACAAAATCTGGACTAATTTCAGATGAACTGAGCATGTATTGAGCTACAGCTCCTGGGTCTGGACGAGTGCTTGTCCAAAGTACAATCCCTGAAACTCTAAACTGTGTGGCTATCAGGTCCTCAGCACCCAAACGTTTCACTCTGCAGACCCACTGCTATTGGGCCACACTGTTAATGTAGATGTAGCCTAAATCCTCCATGTAGATAACTTCTGGATCTACAAGCAACCCAAGGTCTTCTTCTCAGTACTGCCTTCTGCCAAACAAATTCAGACTGTTTTGCAAAATACACCCACCGCATGTTCCACCCATGTGATCCCAGCTGTCAGCTCAGGGACAGCTTCTCCATGGAGAAGCCCACCAAAGTCACAGCTTGCTCCCACCTGCTTTGGTGTGAGATCTCAGGGTCCACCCATTTCTCTTTCTAGTAGAGATCTTCAGCAACTTGTCTTTTGCTCTGCTCCCTTGTGGTACAAACCCACTGACACCAGAAAAATCACCCTGGACTTATTCCAGCACCAGTCCAGCATCAGCAGGAGTTTCTCAGTTACCCATGAACAAGTGATAAGAGATAATGAAAGCCACCTTTGCTCCCTGGCAGCTGGCAGAGAAAGCCACTGGAAGTGCATCTGACCTTTACAGGGCCTTGCACCATCACAGTGTTTCTGCCAGGGGAAAGAGGCAGATGCAGTGGGGAGGGAACTGGCTGCAAAATAGGGGAGATCCAAGGGAAAAAACTGTTTGCTGGGACAAAAGTGTCTGAGGAAGATGTACAGTCCTCAGGCCAAAGAATCTTTAGTAGGTCCCCCTTAAAACCAGCCCAAGTGATGGGTGCTAAGGTGTCTTCTCTCTCTCTTTCCACCCTTTCTCTAGGAAACGCTGAGGCGGATGGAGCTGCTGGCAGAGGGACAGAGGTGAATGCTCCTATTTTTGTGTAGGACAAGGGTGTGCCCAGCTTTGGTGAGACAGCACTAACTCATACACTGAGGGGCCAGCGTTGCTAAATACAGTGAAGTATAGTGAGCTGCTGGGTTGGCAGCCCAAAGATGCCGGTGCCTGGGAACCTCCTTCCATCTGCTCTGCCACAGCAAAATCCCAGTGATGGTACTGGTTTCCCACTGCATTTCCCCACACTCAGTGGAGGAAAACTGTTAATAGAGAGCTGAATATTGCTGTCACTTGCAAAGAAGATCAGAGCTCCCATTACTCTTTGACTTGCAAGCGTGACAGCAGGTATTGTTGTGGCATAAAAATAAAAGCTGGGAAGAACGTGATCAGGCACTGCCCATGGAGCACTACTTACTCAGTATGGCACTCCTAAGGGTGTGCAGCGGTGCCAGGTGGAGTTCAGCTGGCCAAGAGACAGCATGGTGACAGACAGTCCCAGTGTTTCTGAGAGTTCATAGCAGAGCTCTGAGCAAGCTGGGATGGGTTACCAAGATAGACAAAACACACACCTCCCTGTGAATGCAAAGCTTCTTCGGTAAACTGAAAGCACGTTTAATATTTTCAGCATTACCCTTTTGTGTCTCCAGGCAGCTTGTGGCAATTATGACCTAAGAAAAGGTTGTACAAAGATCTTTGACCCCGTCTGTGGCACGGACAACGTCCTATATGGCAATGAGTGTCTGCTGTGCTTTCAGAACCTGTGAGTATCTGGACCTCCTGCAAGTCTAAATATCAGGCAGATGAGGGCTACTACATATGTCTGGGATTTCCTAGAAAGCATCTGCTTGCATACAGCTGGGTGGAGTGTGGGCAGGGAGCCCGGCACATCTGGCAGGAATCTGGCCTCCCGCGCAGATGCTGTGCCCGCTGCTCTGAGCATGTGGACTCCATCTGCAAAATAGGTCCGTTGCGTGCGGCTCGCAGCACACGAGCTGCCCACAAGCAGGGACCACACGGCCAAATCTCCCCACTCCTGCAGCTGCCAAGCTGCAGCGATTGCTCAGACTGTGCTGACAGGAAAGTCTGCCCAGATCTAGCATGCGGGCAGAAAAATATTTTTCCAGGTGACTTCAGATGTGTGGTGGCTGAGGAAAAGCTATGTTTTTTCACCCCAGCAATTTATAGCTGAGCTCTACTTTCTGTCTTCTCTGCATATGAAAGGATACAATTTGCTCTGGGTATTTTTAAGAATGAGCCTTATATTTAATCTGTGCTGGTGCCAGATTGCACTGTCTTAGCAGAAGGTCAGGTCCAAATGCTAGCGACATCTCTGGCAAGACTTGATTCATTTCATCTGGCTTGGGCCCTAGGTAATTTTGAGTGTATTTATACATCGGAAGCACTCTGTGTGAGACAAGTGAAGGAATTACTTCCAACTTAATGCTATTAGGTAGTTTGAAAATCTCCATTGGGAAGATTGAGGCTTATCTGTAGGCAGATGCCCCAGTCTGTGGGGCTTAGGGGCTTCACCCTTGACTTTACCTGGTGGAGACAGGAAGTAATGGCCATCAGGCTCACATGCCCATCTGCCATCAGCAGAGACATCTCTAACAGAAGCTCAAATTCCCTGGATGAGCAGACTTGCGGAGCCAAATTCTGCTTTTAGGAGCATTGTCTCCCAGCTAACTCTGCAGTAACAAGGAACAGAGTCTAGATCACCAGGAAGAGCCTGGATAAGAATTGGTAGTCTGGTTGTCCCTTCTTTCCTTCATTAACCCAGGCTGCTGCCCCATATTCTGCTCCTGGCCTGCTCAAATGCTGGTTTTACAATGTAAGGCTGAAGATTATGCAGTCAGGCAGAGACACGCTGAGTGGGATCTCCTGAACGAAGGCGCCACGGTTAATGACCCGGCGCAGCATGGCAGGGTGGTAATGACCATGCTGGAAGCCAGCAGCCCCGCACCAGCTGTCGGCTGTATTGTGCAACAGATGGGGGTGGGAGGTTCGTCAGACACAACATCGTTAGGGCTTTGGCCATGAACCAGGAGCGGGGTAAAGAGAGTGAGGAAGGCTACAAAGCCAGCTATGCAGGGAACAAAGTGGCATCGAGGATGCTACAGACCCCCAGTGCGGAGCATGGCTTCAGAGGGGATGGGAGACCACAGTGGTCACAAGAAGGAAAGTTTGGGGTTCAAAAAAGAACAAGACTGAGCCAGTGGTGTATCCAGAGCTGGGCAGGAGTCAGGGGACAGAAGAGAAGGATGGGAAGCTGGTGCTTGCACCCACCTTGTGTTGACAGGCGCTGCGCTTCTTCAAACTCCTATTTGTGCAAACTCGCAGCAGCTGCAACTGGAAACGTGCTGCTCCTGCGAGTCAAAGCCCTGAGCCTTGCAGCCCTGTAATGTTGCCAAGTGAAGAACTTTTGGGGTTAGGAACAGTAGCCATTTGGTCTCCTGCTCAGGGTGATCTAGGCCAGGCACCAGGACTTTGAAGCTGCCTGGTGCCAAATGTCTCAGGGGAGAGATAAACGGAGTGCCCTCATCTATAAAGCTTTGGTCCATGGGGAAAAGTCATATAGCCGAGAGGCAGGATGAAGTGTCATTTGCAGTTTTGTGTGTGCAACCAGTCTGACAAGAGCTGGAGGCTTGCAAGGAGTCTGGGAATAACTACTGCAAGAGCATCTGGTGGGTCCCTGCGGCAGCTGTGTCTCACTTGTCGCCTTTGGTCACTTCACTGTGACCAGCGTGCAAAATGCCTTTTGCAAAACAGAAAACAGCTTGAAAATCATTTTACCAGTATTTCTCTATGCACCTGAGAAACGGGTTTGTCTTTCCAAAGTGAACATCATGATTCCAGGAGAAAATGGAACAATTCAGAGTAATTATGTCCACTACTGGGAAAATAATAATAATTTTTTGCAGGTGCCTTTTTAATATTTTCCTTGCTTTTGCTTTAGAAGCCATCAGGAGGGGAGGCTGGGAGCAGGCCCAAGCCCAAGCAAGTCACAGTGGCAGGCATTTGTCTGTAAAAACCTACAAAACAAAGTCATAACCTTTATCATCTGCGGCCAGACAAGCATTAGAGGTGTCTTAGTGCTGTCTACAGCACAGAGGTGAATTATTCTGCCAGGAGGTGTCAGGAAGCACCAGCTCTTGAGCTTATTGGAATTAATTAACACATGTCCATGGTAACCCTGAACTCCCTGTCAAGAGTATGTGGCCTTACTGTGAATAACACTTAAATGATGATTTAAGCAGTATTTTCCTTCCTTTCTTTCTTTGTCCTCCAAGTCAAGCTCTTCTGTGTACCAGGGACCTGAAGGCATCTTCTAGCATTTTTAACCTCTCTTCCAGGCAAAGAAACACTAATGTGCGTATAAAGAACAGGGGAATGTGCCAAAAGCCCTCTCCACGCTCCAACTCCGCTCAAAACTAAAAGGCGCAACAGTTCCGGAGAAGATAGCACAAAGCTGTCCTTCACCTATTCAAACTCCTAATAAAATGGAAGCATTGCCATGTCTTGCACTGGGATTTCTTACACACACAGCAGACCCCTTTCCCTGACATTTAAAATACATTCCCGAAAAATATAGTTTGTTTTGGTAATGTTCATGAAGAGCTGTAAGCAATTAACTGTCAGAGGTCCAGGGACAAGGCTAGAACATGCCCAAGGAGAGAGTCAGACTCTGGCATAACAAGGAGGCTCTCTTCTGCATCAAGAATTTTGTTTTCCTTTCCTAAATTTCCAGCATCGAAGCAATAGAAGATTTTAGCATTCTCATGACTTGCAGTTACATTTGTTAAATACAGGGCATTAAAGCCCTTACTCCAGGGCCTTTGCCAGGAGGAAGAATCCAACAAGTCATCTCCACGCTGACCTGTCTCCAGCCCCAGCCGTGCCCATACGCCAGTGCCCCATCACACGGTCCCTGTGCACTGACAGCTACCAGCCCCAGACTTGTCCTGCAGGTCACAGCTATCCAGTGCCTCGGAAAACCAAAAAGGCTCCGTTTTTTCCGGCCAAAAAAACCCTTTTTTTTTTTTTTTTTCCCTTTTCCTCTAGCAGCCTTGGTGAGCTTTACTGCCGGCACCCCATGCCGGCCCCGGGGCTGCGGGCTGGTGGATGGGGGGCGGGGGGAGAGATGCGGCGCAGCGGGACGCGGGGTGCGGGTCCCTGGATGGAGAAAGGGAGGAGGTTTCGGCACTGGAGGCCGCTGTTGCTCCGCCGGAGCCGGTGCCGATGCCGGAGCCGAGCCCGCAGCTGGGCTCCGTCCAGCCCTGTGATGAGGCGGCTGGAAGCCGCTGAGGTGGGGTAGCCGAGGCGCTCAGCCTCCCCACATCCCTGTCCTCCACTCCTCAGGGATCCACGGACAGGTCTGCAGGAACCTCATGCTCCATCTGGGGACAGCAAGGACACGAGTGGCCCCAGAGGGTCTGCCTACAGGTCCTGTGCTGGAGGGATGAGTCTGCCTGGCACTGGCATAGCCCTGCTGGCTGTTGTCTGGAGAGCTGGGCACTCCGCGGCTTGTGCCAAAGGACTGTAGTGAGTCAACGCAAAACAGCCTGGGACAGAGCAGTCAGCGCCAGGGGTTGAACACTCTCACAGTTCCCCATGAATTAAAGCCCTTAAGTAAATGGCTATTTGTATTTTGGGCAAGCCAAATGCCTGCTTCTTAGCAAATCCTGAACTTCAGTTTGGTTTGAGTTCTCTTTATGTTCCTTGGAGAAGTCTCTGAAACACAAACAAAACAAAAAAAAAAAAAACATGATCAAGCTGACAGAAAGCTCTAGCGCTTGCTTGAAATTTCAAATGCAACCAGATGCAGCTGGGAGGGGGGGCAGCACAGGCTCCTCTTCCCAGATCTGCCAACAAGTCTGTCTGCGGTCGAGGGAGAGATGAAAAACGACTCACTTTGCTCATATGTAAAATTAATGCAGTAAAGGTGGTAGCCCCAAATAGGCTTGGGACGGTAAATTGCCTCGACATCTTTGCACAACGGGGATCCTGCAAGTATGCCTCCCACAGCCGGGATATTTCTGATTCTGCTGCATCATGAGAAACAGAGTATAGCTTTTACCTGGAGAGGTCTCTGCAAGCGGGGCTGGCAGGAGGGGAGGCTGAGCCTCCTCACGCTGTTCACTCTTGGACTTTGTGGTGTGGCTAAACCCATCTTAGATCCAAACTCATCCAAGTTGGTTTCTTCCACCCAGAAGAATGCTGGAGAGGTTGCACTGAGGCCAGCTTATGCCAAGCAAAACATCTTTCCTGGCCATGCCATTTCTAGGAAACATCACCCAGTATTAGCCAAGAGCATTTCTTCGATGAAGTGAGGTGCTGACCGTGCTTGCAAAACAGCAGGTCGCATCAGCTGGATGGTTTAGCATGGGCTGCATCTCCCCAGGCGCTAAAAAAAAAATTCCTGCTAAATGTCAGCCACATCCGTTCCGCAGCAAGGTCCATATCAGGCTTGAGATTATGGGAAGCAGCAGGTCAAGGGCCACCCTGTTGGTACCACACAGCAGGGACACATTAGGCAGAGCCAGCGGCAAGTTTCCAGGAGGGAACAGTTCCTGTCCATTTTCCAGTTTGGGTTTCAACAACTGCAAATCTGCGGAAGCTTTAGCAGGTGCAAAGGTGTTTTACTGACCCCTAGACTGGGTTTAGTTTTATTTATAGGAGACTCATGCCCAAACCCCAGTCTTCTGCCCCCATAAAGGTTCTTCCCTGAAGCTGAGGAGGGGAGCGCTTCATCTCAGCTGCTCCT